CACAATTGTGGTGTTTGGTGAAGGAGCACTGATATTGGATTCTGAAGATGTATATGTTTTCATAAGAACACGGATATTGATTTAAGAAGATGATGTCACAATACTAGTGATATTTCAAATACGATTGAGACTCACGAACATTTAAATCACCGTAATATTAGTTATATTTTGTTTTATTTTTGTATTTGTAACGTTTATTGATATTTGAGAAGCGTGGCACTATTATTTATCTTTTTTTTTTTATTTAAATATTTATCTTTAACATTTTTTTTCCAACCTTTGTAACTGCCAATTTATTGGACAGCATGTCCTGCATGTAAGGCCTCATTCACACGATGCGTGCAGAAAAACTGATGTGCAGATTTCACTTGCAGAGACAACAGTTTACATCAGTTTTCATACACGCTTCAATGAGTTTTATACACATTGCAGATACCTGACCAGAAATAATCTGCACATGATACTAGTGTTGTGGTATGAACAGGGCACATAAAGAACAATTGATTTTGTTGTGCCCTTGCAAAACACATGCAGAAACAACTGATGTCTCTGCACCATGGTGTAAACGAGCCCTGAATGTGGAAAAAAAATTTAAATAAAGCCATGGAAAATAAATATTAATATACTGAATGCTGTCTTTGCAGGTATTAACTCCAAAAGTTATCAGAATACAATATTGTTTGCTAGTGGGCCTCTAAAGAAGAAATAAAACCCATCCACTGCTTTAAAAAGAATTATGTAAACATTTCATTATGGTCATAAGCCTATCAGGATGTCTACACCAGCAGTCCCCAACTTTTCAAACTTATTGGCACCAGGGACTGGTTTTGTGGAAGGCAGTTTTTACAGGGACCAAGGGAGGGGGAGTGATATAGCCTGTCACCAGATGCAGTCATTTGCCACTCACTGATAGGGTTTTCATAGGAGTCTCTGTGCTAATGATCTGTATTTGCAGCTACTCCCCAGCGCTAGCATCACAGCCTCAAAATCCCTCAAATCATCAGGCATTAGATTCTCATAAGCAGCGCGCAACCTAGATCCCTTGTATACACAGTGTACAGTAGGGTTCGCCCATGACAATCTAATACTGTTGCTGATCTGACAGGAGGTGGAGCTCAGGCAGTATTGCATGCAGCTGAAGGGCTAACTCACATAGTGTGCAATGACAGATGTTTCACTGCATTATAAAACATCTGTCACTGCAAAGGGAACAATTGTTTCCTATGTGTCCCATTCACACTGCAAAAGCAGCCTATGTTTGTGCTGCAGCATGCCACAATAAAATGCAGATATGCTGCATTTTATTGAAGTGTACGTTTGAATGCTTCAAATAAAGTTTGTACAAAGCAAAAACATAAAGGGAGCTGTTGGATGCACCGAATCGCGCACCACACTGCCTCCAACCACAGCTGGCAGCCCTCCGTTCCCTTGTGAGCTTTACCGCTCTGGCTGCTTTCCATTTCCGTGTGAACAGATTAAGCCTCCTGCTCTGCGGCCTTGTTACCAACAGGACACAGACCAGTACAAATGTGTTGTGTAGACCAGAGGTTTGGAACAGCAAAGGATGTAGTTTTTCAAGAAATTCCCAGAATCCCTACTTAAAGAATAAAAGCTTATGCTTTACTGAAACTGTCCATTTTGTTTTCCTTTTATAGTACGCTCTGTATATTTTACATTTCTGATATGTAACCGCAACTTACCTAACATGATGGATATCTTATATACAGTTGCAAGAAAAAGTATGTGAACCCCTTGGGATTACGTGGAGTTTTGCATGAATTGGGCGTAAAATGTGCTCTGAACGTCATCATTTGCAATTTGCATTTGCAATCTGTGTTCAGGAATATCAAAAAATAAAACCAATGATGTTGCAGCAGTGAAGTATTATGGGGACAAAGGGGCATGCCCTGGACCCTCCCTGAACAGAAGGGGACCCTCCCACTTATACAAAAATATCAAACCAATGTAAACGTTAAAAATATTGCCCTCCAACCCCTCACCATAAAATATTTTAAATAAATCATTTATTTTATATAAATTTTTCATTTTTTTTTTTTTTTTTTTTTTATTTTTAGTGGAGCCAGGCAAGTGCAAGGATTTATAATTGTCGGTGGGACAAAAGGGCTGGCATGGCGGTTCATTGGATGCCTTGATCAGAAGGGCCCTGCTAGGGTGGTCTCGCTTGAAAAAGTGACGGAACCGGGCAAGTGCACCAATTATAAACACAATAAAAATAATGAACGACAAAAAACTATTATAGCATACACATCTACAAAACTGTCAGCCATAAACTGAATCGTTTTCGGTTTTTTTAAATGCTCATCAGTGGTGGGGGGTGGGTTGTGGGGGACAGCCCCACAATAAAAAAGAAATATGGGGGGGCAGGGCTAATCAAGTGCCCTAAAAACCGAAACATCAGTATAACCCTAGCAATAAAAAACTTTGCGTCTACCAAATAAAACTCCAATGTCCGCGGCTGTTGGTCTTCCCAGCGCTGGGCTGTAGTTAGGGGTATGAAGTGCCTTGGTATAATGCGTCTCAAACACCTTGTCGCTCTGACTGTTATTGAATGGTAATATTGTGATGAACTTAAAAAAAAAGAATTGGCAGCTCAAGCGAACCATATATAGAGTGCTTATGCTGTGTGACTGTTATTGAGACTGTAAACCAACTCTGTGTATAAGTGGTCCCTAAAACCTGAAGTGCTCTGCCTCACAAGGTCTAAATCTGACACTGGTGTGGAGGGGCTATAGTAAAATTCAAATTTGACCATAAGAGCCTGGCCAGTATAATTTCTAAATACAGCTCTGTATTCCTATGAATGGGCAACATTTCAAAAAGGCTTTCATTTGACAAATGTGACAAACAGAACAAAAAAAAGAAAAGAAAAACATCTTACAGTTGTAAGAAAAAGTATGTGAAACCCTTGGGATTACGTGGAGTTTTGCATGAATTGGGCATAAATGTGCTCTGAACGTCATCTAAGTCACAACAATAGAAGAACACAGTCTGCTGAACATAATACTACACAAACATTAGATGTTGCCATGGTTTAATTGCACATAACATGTAAACAGTCACAGTGCAGGGAGGAAAAAGTATGTGAACCTTTGGACTTAATAACTGGTTGACCCTCCTTTGGCAGCAATAAACCTCAACCAAACGTTTCCTGTAGTTGCAGATCAGACCTGCACAAAGATCTGGAGTAATTTTGGACCACTCCTCTTCACAAAACTGTTTCAGTGTAGCAATATTCTTGGGATGTCTGGTGTGAACCGCTCTCCCTTAAGGTCATGCCACAGCATTTCAATGGGGTTGAGGTTAGGACTCTGACTGGGCCACTCCAGAAGTCGTATTCTGTGCTGTTGCAGCCATTGTTTTGTTGAATTACTTGTATGCTTTGGGTCATTGTCCTGTTGCATCACCCATCCTCTGCGGAGCTTCAGTTGGCGGACAGATGGTCGTACGTTTTCCTGCAAAATGTCTTGATAAACTCTGGAATTCATTTTCCCATCAATGACAACAATCCGTCCAGGCCCTGAGGCAGCAAAGCAGCCCCAAACCATGATGCTCCCTCCGCCATGTTTTACAGTGGGGATGAGGTTTTGATGTTGGTGTGCTGTGCCTTTTTTTCTCCACACATAGTGTTGTGTGTTCTTCCAAACAACTCAATCTTGGTATCATCTGTCCACAGTATATTTTGCCAGTAGTGCTGTGGAACATCCAGTTGCTCTTTTGCAAACTTCAAAACGTGCTGCAATATTCTTTTTCGACAGCAATGGCTTCCTCCGTGGTGTCCTCCCATGTACTCCATTCTTGTTTAATGTTTTCCTTATTGTAGATGTGTCAACAAAAATGTTAGCATGTGCCAGAGATTTCTGTAGGTCTTTAGCTGACACTCTGGGATTCTTCTTTACCTCATGCAGCATTCTGCCCTGTGCTCTTGCAGTCATTTTTACAGGATGACCATGCTTAGGGAGAGTAGCAACAGTGCTAAACTTTCTCCATTTGTAGACAGTCTGTCTTACCGTGGACACATGAACATCAAGGCTTTTGGAGATACTTTTGTAACCCTTTCCAGCTTCATGCAAGTCAACAATTCTTGATCGTAGGTCTTCTGAGAGCTCTTTTCTGAGAGGCATGGTTCACATTAGACAGTGCTTCTTGAAACCAGTAAACCCAAAACAGGTGTGTGTTTTTTTAAGGGCAGGACAGCTGTCAGCAACACATCCAATATCATCACACTGATTGGAGTCAAGGTTGGCTCACTCCTGGCTCCAATTAGCTCTGGGAGAAGTCATTCAGCTAGGGCCTCACATACTTTTTCCTCCCTGCACTGTGAATGTTTACATGTTATGTACAATTAAACCATGGCAAAATCTAATGTTTGTGTAGTATTATGTTCAGCAGACTGTGGTCTTCTATTGTTGTGACTTAGATAACGTTCAGAGCACATTTTATGCCCAATTCATGCAAAACTCCACGTAATCCCAAGGGGTTCACATACTTTTTCTTGCAACTGTATGCCTTATTCCACCCTGTTGGATCTTTCTTGTAAGTCATCCGAAAAATTTTAAATGCATTTGTAATATTGTTTATTTACTCAAAAAAAACTATTGAACCATAAAAAAGAACAAATGCAAAAAGTTTGCCATATTACTTTTTTGTGAAAGTAACTGTTTTATTATTATTTATTAAAATTATTTTAAATATTTAACTAATATCTTTTAATCCTCAAAGCACATGTTGATAACTAACGTGTGAACCTAGGGTAATAGTGAATCTATAAAGGGAGGGTGACACCTATTTTGACATTCTAATAGCCAGAAAAATTGGGTGAGCATGAGAGTTCTGTTGGAGATGTCATTATTGCTCCTGAGGAATGATAGAACAAGCCACCATATTTCAATCTAACTGCACTCGTACAACCTTGAAACATTCATTTTAATCAGAGCTGACCCTAGGAAGGAATCCTCCAGCCACAAAACCAAGACTGTTACCTTCATTAGAAGAGCAGATTCTTTCTCAGCTGTGTTTCTCCATAGCTCTGTTACTTGGTGGATTTCAGAATTTAAAAACTGGTTCTGCGTTTTGTAGGCATTTATGTCATCCTTTGGAAAGAGAACAAGAAATGAAATGGTTACAGTTAATCCATACATTTGTATATCATTTTGTGCAACCAGGATCTGCTTGGAATACTAAAAAGCCATATGTCTGTCACATCTGGTCACAGTACATATAAATAGCTGTTTTTTTGTATGCAAATACATGACACTTTAGCACTTTGTGATATCTTGGAAAGGTAGCAGATTTATTAACACTAGGTGAGCAGTGTGACACAAATGTGGTTGCATTGTCCAACACTAAAGCGCGCCTAAATCCGGGAACAAAAATTTTATGTATTGTAGCTTGCTTTTCCTTAGATGTAATGGTGAATTATGTTTCTTTCTTTTTTTCCCCCACACTTCTTTATTTTTTGTTTTCACTTGGAGATCCTGCCAGAAACACACTTCCTGTCCTGGGTGGGTGACAACCATATTGTATCTAGAACAGCAGTGTTGTCACCCTACGAAGAAAATGTACCAGCAAACACAAATGCTCCTGCGCTTGGGGATGGACTCGATGCAGGCTACAACCACATTAAGAATGTCCTGGAACATGCACACCTTGCTGCCCTCAAATGGACCAGGGGAATCAAAATATACTGAATGAGGAAAGAACAAAGTGAGGGCGCACAGGCCTAGTGTATTACCACTCTGGCTCTGAGGAAGAGGCAAGTCCTCTAAACGCGTCAGACTATTGGATGTCTACACTCCCCATTGCGGACTGTTATTCAGCGCGGTGTTGACCCAGCTGTTCTTTTATGATGTGCCTTGACTATATTGTCGTTTGGAGTACAACACCTATTTTATTTTTTATTAAACATTTTTTATGGTAATGCACTAGGCCTGCGCGCTCTCTCTTTGTTCTTTCCTCATTTAGGAACAAAATGTGTTAGGACTGCATAACTTCTCACCTTCTCCTTAACATAGGGGAGGTGTTTTGTAGTCAATATAGTTTAGCTTGGAACAATGCTGTCTGCAGAGGAAAAGAACACAGGAAGTTATCAGCCCACAAGTTTTTTTGGCTAAACGAACAGTTATTTTGTCTCGCACGTGGTGACCAGATATAATAAAGCACTTTCAAAGGTATACTTAAAGAATATGTAAACCCTCACCTTGTAAAACAACCCATTCAATGTTTTTCCTTTTTTATAAGTGATCACACACCCTCTGTCCTCAGCTGCATAAGGAGCTCAGGGAGAAGAAACAGCAGCACACTGATCTTCCCAGTGAATTGCTGTGCAGGGAGTGGCGGTTTCAGAACAAGCCTGATCATTGAATTAGCGCCCAGCATATCTAGAAAACTGACCACACCGTGCTCTCATGCCTAGTGTGGTAAATTTTTTATACGAAAACAGAGCGGCTGGCAGAAACACTAGTGATTTTACAAAGGAAGCAGTACAAAGAGAACAGGATATTTTTCATACAAATAGAGAAGAGAGATAGCGGTGCTACTCTAAGTGTAGAAGGTTAAAAAGCACAAATGTTTAATAGTTAAAATGCACTCACAAGAGTAGGAGATTTAGGATCATGTCATTGTTTACAGAAGGTGTACTGGCAAGTCCTATGCGGTGCTCCTGGTTTGTACCCATCATTTCGGTGGTTTCCAGGAATCGGGGGGTAGCAGAGAGGTGCAGACAGATCACATCACAGCACAATTTCCAAAATAGCATGCATTCGGAGCATGCGAAGGCCTGAGGAAGTAGTGCGCATGCTTCGCACACGCGCCATTTTGGAAGTCCAGTTTGTGCTGCGACGTGATCTGTCTGAGCCTACCTGAACCTCTCTGCTACCCCCCAAGCCCTGGAAACCACCGGAGTGACGGGTACCAACCAGGAGCACCACATAGGACTGCCAGTACATCAAACCTTTCTGTAAACCATGACATGCTTTTAAATCTTCTCTACTCTTGTGGGTGCATTTTAACTATTAAATATGTGTGCTTTTTAACCTTCTACACCTAGAGTGGCGCCGCTGTCTCTTTTCTCTATTTGTGCACAGGAGTACCTACAAGCTCCTACAGCTGACTACCTCTTCCCACAAGACTGTATACCCATACATCCTCCCTTTAAGATTCACTTGGATGACATTCTCACATTGACCTTTTACTAACATATCCTACTGCGGTCCATTCCCCATCCCATACTGGGTTGATGTTCTAAGCGCTCCCCAACTTCCACTATTTTTCATACAAATACTTGGTGCAGCATTCACATATCAGGAAGATGAAATGTTGAGTTCACATATTCTTTAACAAGCAAATAAAATACATTTATTGTTAGAATTTACATACAGTTTAGGACATTTTATTGCTGCTTTGCTTTTCATTACAGATATGTTTCAAAGATATCTCACCATTAAGCTTTCAATCTTTCGGTAATGCTGCTGTAAGGTGTCTTTTAAGATGCTGTTTGAGACATCTGGATCACTTTGGCTGAGAAGCTGTTCATTCTGTTTCAAGATAACTTGCTGTTTTGCATTATTTTTCTCCATTAATAGCTGAATATGCTCTTTTAGTTCATCAATGTGGAATTCCTTGAAGCTGGCACACTGTTCCAGATCTTTCTTCTCCTGTTCAAGAACCTCGACTCGTTGCTTCAGGTCTTCGATTTGCCTAATCTTGTGACGTATCATTTCAAGTCTATCTTTTTCCTCTGCAGCATTCAGGTATTCATTGCAGGCTCTCTTTTCCTGGTGAGCAGACTCAAGTGCTCGATGGAGAAGCTTTACAAGATCCTAGCATACAAGAAAGAGCAAACATGTAATATTCCTGCATCAAAATATCTTAAGATTAACCACTTGCCTTCCTGAGGATTTACCCCCCTTCCTGACCAGGACATTTTTTGTGTTACGGCGCTGTTATTTTAACGGACAATTGCGCAGTCATGCAACATGGCACCCAAATGAAATGTATGTCCTTTTTTAACCCACAAATTGAGATTTCTTTCAGTGGTATTTGATGGCCTGTGCGGTTTGTATTTTTTGAGCTATAAAAAAAAAAAGACCAACAATTTTGAGAAAAAAACATTTTTTTTTCTATTTTTTGCTATTAAACATGTCCAGTAAAAAAATAAAAAAAATCTAATTTTGTCATAAATTTAGGCCAAAATGTATTCTGCGACGTCTTTGCTAAAAAAAAAATCCCAATACGTGTAGTTTAATTATTTTACGTGAAAGTTATAGCGTTTATGAATGGCGGTATATATACTGGGATTCATTTTTTGCATTTTTGCTAGCAATGGCGGTGATCAGCGACTTATAGCGGGACTGCGGCAGACATTCTGATACTGGGGGGAACTGACTTGGTGTCACTGACATCCCCAGTGACACCAATACAGTGATCAGTGCTTAATAAAAAAAAAAAAAAAAAGCACTGACACTGTACTAATGGCACTGAGCAGGAAGAAGTTAACATGAGGGGCAATCAAAGGGTTAACTCGGTGCTGGGAGTGTTTTACTATGGGGCAGTGTGTGTGTGATTCACTGTAATCAAACTGCTGTGGATGGCTGTGCTGTGCACTGCCATCCACAGCAGTGTGCCCTAGCTGACAGAGAGGAGAACTGTTAGGGGCCCGGTGATTGACAGCCAGGGCTGAGAATGGCGGAGTACCGGGAAATGCAAAATCAAGTATATATACACGTGATTTGCACACCGCTGCCACCCTGTAGCAGTATTTCTGCTATAGGGTGGTTGGCAAGTGGTTAAAGACAAAGAGAAGCTAGAGTTAACTGCTTGAGCATGACTAATAATTTCACAGATTTTTTAATTCATAGGGTAATATGTTGCCTAAAGCTGGCCATACATGGATCGAAATTTGGCCAGTTCAGCAGGAACCGGATGAATTTCGATCCATCTATGGGGACAGTTGTTGTACAGAGGTTGATTTACTGAGCCTGACAGATAAATGTTGTTTGATCAGTACCGCTGGCTATAGCTGGCAGTGCTGATCAGTGTATTCTGATGGCGGGGAAGTCTCTCCACTGTTAGAACACAAAGATTAGCAGAAGTGATTCCCCCATTTACCTCAAATTTGTGGATAGGGGGATTGGGTCATTTTTTTTTTTATTTTCGTTTAACTGCCTGGTTAAACAAAAACAAAAACTGAATCATGTATGTGCTTCTTTAGTGGATTTTGGGTGAAAAACGCACAGATCACTAGCTTAGCAAATTTTCTTTTAGTAAAAGTTAAAAATAGTGTCACAGCAAGAGGTCAGGGCATGACAGTTTATCCATGCTGCCATACACCCATGGATTTTTCTTTTGTTCAGCCTGCTGGCTAAATTAAAGAAATGTAAGATTCCTTCATCCTCATTAAGCTGTACAGATGGATGAATCTCCTGCTGTTGCTATTGTATTCTGATGGTCATCACTGCCCGCTGTCAAAATACAGTATCCAAACAGCAGCTGCATCTGATTCAAGGCAGACACTTTTTGCCTGACAATCTTTTGTCCAGCTCCTTCAATTTTTCAATCCAGTCATTCATGATCCAAAGTCATGGTTAAAAAAATTATTTACCCCTCTGATGCATATATTCTATTCTGTTTTGGGGAAACAAATGCCACCTTTAGAAACATATTACAGGTTACACTTGTATACCATGCAACATGTTGCCAAACAAACCTCTGTGCCCCCGAGTACTCCCCCATGACAGCGTGCAGGATTATTGTTCCCCATAGCTGTTGTCACTTTTAAAATCGGCATGGCTTTGCCTGCACAGCAGTGTCACTCATTCACAGATTACTAGACCAAAGGATAAAAGAGTTCAAATTACTTTTTTCTAACAAAAACAATCAACATGTTTTGGGGGTCAGAAAAAACTCCCCCTTCATCAGGGCTTCAGTTAAGATAAGAACCTTAAAGTGATACTAAAGGCAATTTAAAAAAAAAAAAAAATGTTATACTTACCTACTCTATGCAGTGGTTTTGCACACAGCAACTCCAATCCTCCTCTTTTTGGGTCCCCCGTGCTGGCCCCCCCCTCCTACCAAGTGCCCCCAGAGCAAACATCTTGCTATTGGGGCACATAAGCTGGCTTGCTAACCAGGCTGCTTCCCTGCGTGTCCATTCACACACAGAGCTGCAGCCTGGACCTGCCCCCTCTCCTCATTGGCTCCCGCTGCTGTCTGAGCCAATTAGGAGGGAGAGTCTCCAGAGAGCGGAGGCTCTTGTGCACATCACTGGATTGCGATAGGGCTCATGTAAGGATTGGGGGGAGAGGCTGCTGCACACAGAAGGTTTTTTATCTTCATACATAGAATGCATAGGTTTGCATGCATGAAGGTAAGAAAAACCTTGAGCCTTTGCAAGCATGTGAAATAGACTCAAAAAAGAGCTTTCCTGTATGGATCTGTGTAGGGAAGCGAATTGCTGGATCAAGAGAGTTACTGACCAACAGTATCAAGATAAGAAGCTACAAGACATACTTGTATTTCTAAATGGAGCGTGAGTTCTTTAATCACATTAGTAGTCAATTGACAATCCTCCGCTCTCTAAATGAAAGCCTGTATAGAGGTACAGACAGAGAGCTGCAGGGAGAGTTTGTGGGAGCCTGAAATTGCACCCACAGTCTACTGATCCCAGGTTCCTGTGAAAACAAAAATTGTATATTTTTTTCCTGCAAAAATATGTGCATTTATTATTTTTTTCTTAACCACTTCCTGTACGGCCCATGTATATAAAAGGCCAGATGGGAGCAGTGCAGGGCGGGTGGCCGTTTATAAACATCCTCCTGCTTCCCTGCCTACGCGCTCTCCCTGGGAGAAAACAGCACTGCGATCCGGTGCCCGCTGTGTCCTCCGGTGCCTGCTGCCTGTGTGAGGTCCAATCTGTGATCACATGAATAGCAGTAAGCAAGATGTCAATTCTGACACTACTTGTGAAATCTGTGAATGATCACAGAGGTCACATGATACAAGGCTATTCACAACAGCCTTGTACCATGTGACCAATCACAGCTTGCACAGTATTTCTCAATGGCTGCAAGAGAGAAGGAGAAATGATTGCTTTTACAGCCTTTATGGGTGTAAAAGCAATCAGTGTAAAAAAAAAAAAAAAAAAAAAAAATCTTCATCACCCCCACAAGTAGTACAGTGTCACTATGGTGACACTGTACTGCTAGGATGACAGTATGTTTAAAAAAAAACATAATAATATAAAAAAATTAAATATGTAAACAAAATTTGACAAAGTTATAATTTTTGGTTATAAACTAATTTGGGTTATTTTTTTTTTACTAAAAATATAGCTGAATATATTTTGGCCAAGATTTATGAAAAAAGATTATTTATTTGCAAAATGTTATAAGAAAAAACACTTTTTTTTTTCAAAATGTTTGGAGTTTTTCATTTATATAGCAAAAAAATAAAAATCCCACTGGTGAATAAATACAACCAAAATAAAAGTTGTATCCATCTCAAAACAATGCTGCAAAATTCATATGGGTACAGTGTTGCATGGCCGCGCAATTGTCATTCAAAGTGTGATAGCACTGAAAGCTGAAAATTGGCCTGGACAGGAAGGGGGTGAAAGTGTCCGGACTTGAAGTGGTTAAAGATGAACTTAACCTTTAACAAGCATAGGACAACATCCACAATGTTTCTGGCATTCGTTTTTTCTCTCAACATTTATGCTATAGCTTTTTCCAAGTGATGGTTGAACGGATGCATTTGCATTATGCAAGCAATCACACCCATTTTCAGAGATTTCTTTATTATACCATACTACAGATTTCAGACATACATGCGTGGTTCAATGACACTTTTTTCATAAACAGGAAAGCTTAGAATGTCCAAGCACTTAACAGATAGCCTCAGTGCCAGCCTTATTCTTAGGGAACAGTGATTCTGTTTTGAATAAAGCCTGGCAAATTGGCTTTTACTATGGAAAATAATAGCCAGAGACATCTGATTGAATTTAAAGGCACCAGAACAATCATCTAAAGCCGGCCATATATGGTTTGAATCTCGGCTGGTTCAGGACGGTCTGGCCAAGATTAGAACCATCTATGGGCAGGCTGATTGTACCCAATTCAACTGTTGTACAACTTTGATATAACCTGGCTGTCGGATCTTTCATGCTATTTCGGCCATAGCTGCTAGCAATAATCACTGTGTTCTCCCAGCAGGGACAGCGCCCAACCCCCCTGGCGAGAGAGAACAACAGCTCTGCGATAGGGCTTCCCCATCAACACTGACTGTGTTGATGGGGTTATCAAGTGATTTTCTTTTGCAACCTATGGTTGTGGCATTGTTTATGGCAGGCATAAGGCATCACGAACACGGATGTCTAGAGGCTTCAAAGTCCTCTAAGATAAAATCCCCTGGAATTTCCCCACATGTGCTAGTAAACACTGATGCAGAAGCCCTTGGTATTTATACAAGTATGTTGTACAAAAGAATGCAGCTGTCAGGAATGGACTGGCCAGCAATAGTGGGACTCAGCTGCCTTATGAGCTGCAGTACCAGGGCTGGCCAGCGGGTGCTCCCAGCAATCAGAGACTCAACTTTGCAGCCAGCTAACACCTGGAACTGATTATGCTGGGGTATTTAAGGGATGGCCAGACCCACAGACTCTGCCTTGGTGTTGTGTTTGTCCTGGGCCTGTATCTGTCCTGCATCCTGTTTCTGTTCCTTTGCTGACCCTGCCTGATCTGAACCGCTGCTGACTTCTCCTGCTCTGATCCCGGCTCGCTCCTGACCATCCCTCTGCCTGACCCTCTGTACCACGCTGCTTGCT